CCCCTCTTCGGCACGTCCACGCGTTAAGCACTGTCCTATCGGCCGTCGTCAGCCACCGCACGAAACCGACCACCACAGCGTCGGGGGGGGGGGGGAAGGCTGGGAGTTGAAGTCCACACGTCTGAAAGTTGCTCAGCTTGGGAAACACTGCTCCAAGCAGTTGGGTTGATTCAATAAAATAAGAGTGCCCTACAGTATTAAGATTTTAAAAAATCTTGGTTAGCTTAATCCGCCAGAAATCTGCCTCCCCCCCACTTTTTCTTTTAAACTAGTTTATAAATGGCGAGCAAATGAGATGAATCCGTGGGAAAGTCCAGGCGTTGGGTGCCAAGTATACAGCGCTGGTAACCCCTGGCCAGCTTTGGCTGGTTCCAGTCAATTAAGCAGGGTTGAACTTGGCTAGGGAGGGGGATGGAAGAGCATCAGCGAATGCAGAGCTTTAGGCTGGAATGCAAGAAGACAGTAGCAAACCGCTTACACCTTTTTGCTACTGACGGTTTAGGAGTTGAGCTTGACCCAAAGAAGATGTTAACTTTTGGGGTCCCAGGTGAAAGGTGACTGCACCTGGACTTTCGGTATAACTTTTTGACAGGGATCACACATATTGATAACCACATTATTTGTTGGATTTTTGAGTTACTGTTTCATCCAGCCAGGAGAATAAGCCTTATAAACCATAGTATTTTCCTGAGCGAATCCATCCGTCAGTAAACTGGATAAGCATACAACACCAAGTTAGAGGTGGGTGATTGCATGACAAAAGCCTTGTCTGGGTGTACCTGGAAGGAACTCTAGAAGCTGCCTTAAACCTGACTGAGCTGCTTATCCCTCAATCCCAATATTGGCTGATCTAATTGGCATAGGCTTCTAGCAGGCTTGCTTTTCTCCAGCAGCCTTGACCCTCTTCAGTTGAAGAGGCTTGGCCCTGAACTTAAAATCTTCACAATCATAATGCACACTCAGTCACTGAGCTAGAAACCCTCATATACCTGAAGGACAAAGGCAATATGTCAGAGACAGAATTATAGGCTACTGGCAGGGACATAGGAGGCGTTGAAGATGCAAAACAAGAGAGCATAGATAGGAACAGAACTGAAATTCAGTGTAGGGAGTGCTTGCTTTGAATACAGAAAGTCCATTAAAATCCTTGGGATTTCCAGGTAGGCAGATCAAGTCTGGGTAATGAGGAATTTAAAGTTCCCTAAATTTCCAAGTGAATTCATAAAAGTTCCTAAGATTGTGATAAAATGCAACTTCCTGTCTTTTTTTGGGAATCCAGGTATTAAAATGAGGATAGCATATTTAATATTTAAGTATATACATGGCTTCTCTTTGATCCCCTGCAATGGCAGAATGCCTAGGCTTGTGGACCACCTGGAGGTGGTGACCCTGCCAGCCAATCCCTCAAAGGGACTCCCTGTGAAGAAGTATGCAGAGCACTTTCAACTCCCCATCCACATCTGGCCTGATGTAGGTGCATGTGAGAACTTTGACATCGGCGTGGTGGCATCATTTGGACGTCTGCTTAGTGAGGACCTCATCCTGAAGTTCCCCTAGTAAGACTGATCACAGAAAACCCCACATTTTCTACTATATTTATCAGGCAACTAATTCTGGCTTTTAGGTTAAGGGAAAGACTGTCTTCCAGAAGGGTTGATTACACTACAGAGTTGAAGGGGCCAAGTTCCTTAAGGCAATTCCTGCATAGATATCCAATTTGTTGTACTGTTTACAACCAGTGTCATCAAATGGGCAGATTTGTCCATAAACTTACTGCAGGCTTCTAAAAACTAATTTCAGTGCAAAATATAGGGGAATTGAGGAACCTGCAGCACTGCAAATGTTTCTGAATTGCAGCTGCCATCAGCAGTGGCACAAGAAGTTGGTAGTAACAGTTCAGTAATGTACGTTGGTACAGTTTCCCTAGTCATAAAGTTTGATGGGAGTTGTTCAAATCCAGCATCACACTATCTCTGATCAAGAATGATAACAATTTTGAGTTCATACATTTTTGCCAGAAATGCATATAATGTGTGATTCTCATTTTTTCCTATCAGAGTGGCAATGTCTCCTTTTTCAATGTACTAAAAATATTTTGTATAGGGTAATTCATAATCTCTAAGGTCCATTCTTTGCTGTTTTACCAAGAACAAGTACTGATTTGCTTTTGATAAAATATGCATAGTCAAAATAGAATATAGTCATAAAAGTAATCTACAGGTAGTCCTTGTTTAGGGACTACAACTGGGGCCAGCAACTTGATTGTTAAGTGAAACAGTCGCTAAGCAAAACCACAACTGTGCTTATGTTCTTACTTCAGCTTTCCTTTGCTTTACAGACCTGTGAAGGTTGTAAATGTGAGGTTTGGTCACAAAGTTACTTTTTTTGTTACTGTCACAACTGTGATCAGTTTCTAAACAAAGCATCCACTAAGTGAGAAATGCCTGTAATTTGTTGCAATTTACCACATTGTCAAGAAAAACATGCCAGTGCAATAAGCCAGAATTGCAGTGAAATCTGGATTCTTTACAAATATTGTCCCAGTACATGCTGCTAAATAGCTCAGTTTGACGTCTTGTGCCAATGTGAGTAGCTAAGCCAAAATATCACGATCAAGCAAAAGCTTATGTGATGTGTGAATTGAAATTTATGGTCCGTTGCCATCCAAAGAAGCTGAAATCTTAGACCAAGGTTCTTGGCTTACAATTTGTGGATTGTTTGAGAGCAGTACCCCCCCCCCCAAATTCTGGTTGAGAAATACATTTATCTTTTGCATACAGTTCATAAGCTAGACTTGCAACATTCTAGCATAATGTTACATACCACTGTAGTCACAGAGATTTCAAAACAAGATTTAAAAATGATAAAAATAAGGTAATTGATTGGCTATAGCAGGATCCCAGAATGGTGCTGGCTGTGAATTACAAGAGTTATAATCCAACAATCTGGCTGGAGAAGGCAAAGAATTGTGCTGTGAGGGTTTGTTTGTTTTTTTGGTATAATGATATAATAAGTTTTTACACTGTCTTTTCTTTCTTTGTTTTAGTTACACTGAATGTTGAGATATCAGTAAAAAAACACTGACAAATATTTCTTCTTGCCTCTGCATCGCATTATATATTGTGCTTATTACATTGCTGTATTTTTAACTGATTGTTTTATCATAAAAACTTTTGGGAGTGATTTTGAAGTCCAATAGTATAAAAATATAATAAATAAAAATGTTACCAGATTGCCAGTCTTGTTCTAATTTCCCAATATTCTGATTCAGTGGCATGCTGAATGTCCACCCCAGCTATCTTCCAAGGTGGCGTGGCCCTGCACCAATCATCCACACCGTGCTCCATGGAGATACAGTTACTGGGGTTACAATTATGCAAATCAGGCCTAAGAGGTATGTTGGCTCTTTCATTCAGCACCCCGTCTACGCAAACACCTCCTCCTTGAAACCATAGCTTTATGGCTGTGGAGTGATCTTCCTGTTGCCTTGTCAAGTTGCATTATGCTGCTATCAAAGCATTGCAGGTGTGATGTAAAGGAAGATTAACTTTAGGATGGATGGGAAGCTGAGGCTCCCCTCCATATTACCACAGCTGTCCAAAATTGGTGGCACAGTTTTTTGCCATTGTGATGTAGAATACACAACAACTGTAGTGTATGTCCTGAATTAGATCTATTTAATAAAACTGGGAAGAGAGCCAATTTCTCCATCCCAAAACCCTCAGGGGGGTGGGGGGAGATAAACCAGGCCCAGGCAAAATGTGTTACACAGTCCAGCCTGGTTTCAGTAATCTATTCACTACAGGTCTCCCTGTCCCAATGTTAACTTTGGCCCCTGTCTAGCAAAAGCTTGCCCACCACTGGTTCAGGTGATAAGTTTAGGTTGTTCAAGATAGGAGAGTATCCTTAACCAAGGAAACAAAAAGGTGGGCAAACCTTAGTCTAATGAGCTTAATTCTTTAGCTCTTCATATATCCAAACGAGGTCTATTTACAGGGGAAAAAAATGATTGGCCAGCTTGAAGTAAGTTTTGCAGCAGAATCTAAGTTGGTGAAAATGTAAGGCAAAAAAAGAGAGAAAGAGAGAATAGGCTGTTTGAAATTTGAAGTGGAGCACTTCACCTTGCAACATTTCCTTTTTCTTCCAAAACTGTTCAGCAGGATGCTTTCTTCTGAGGCATATAGACGTCTCGGCTGAAACATCTGTTTCACTAAGTCAGGCATTTATTTCATTGCAAAAGTAATAACATAGCTCTTAATTTTACTTCTAAATGTCATACTTTTTAAATACATGCAGTAGTCTTGTCAGAGGTATTGCAAGGCATTTGATAAAGTACATCATAGTCTCCTTCTCGAGAAACTGGAAAAATAAGAGCTGGATGGTCCCACTACCAGATGGATTCACAGTCGGCTGAACAATTGTAGTCAACGTGTGATCCTTAACGGGTCTGTGTCCACGTGGAGAGAGGTATACAGTGGGGTTCTTTAGGGTTCTGTCTTTGGCCCAGTACAGTACTGTTCCACATCTTCATAAATGAAGGCATGCTCATAAAATTTGTTGATGACACAAAGCTGGAGGGGGACTGCTAATATCCCTGAAAATAGGCTCAAGATTCAAAAGGATCTTGATAAACTTGAAAGTTGGACCCTATCCATCAAAATGTTGAGAATGTTGAGACTATAAGGTTGAGAATGCTGAGAAATGTAAGGTTCTGCACCTAGGCAGGAAAAACCAGATGTACAAGTACAAGGTAGGTGGTACCTGACTTAAAATAGTACTTGTGAGAAAGATCTGGGGATCTTGGTAGGCCACAGGTTAAGGATGAGCTAGCAATGTGCTGCAGCTGCCCAAAAAGCCTATGAAGTTTTGGGCTGCATCAATAGAGATACAGTGCCAAGATACACTGCATTGGTCAGACCACACCTGGAATACTGTGTCCAGTTCTGGTTGCCACAGTACAAAAAGGATGCTGAGGAACTGGAAGGAGGGCAAAGAAGAGCAACAAAGATGGTAAGGAGCTTGAAGGCTAAATCCTGTGAAGAGTGGTTAAAGGAACTTAGTATGCTCAGCTTAAAGAAGAGAAGGCTAGGTGGAGACATGACAGCAGTCCTCCAATACATGAAGGGATGTCACAGGGAAGAGAGAATAGATATATTCTCCCTAGCACCTGAGGGTAAGACAAGAACCAGTGGGTAGACGCTTTACGGTGAGAAATCTAAACTTGGACTAGGGAGGCATTTCCTGGCTGTGAGAGTTAGTAAGCAATGGAGCAGCCTGCCTCCTGAAATTGTGGGTGCTCCATCACTGGAGGTTTTCAGGAAAAGGCTGGATAGCCATTTACCCAGAATGGTCTGAGGATTCCTGCACTGGGCAGGGGTTGAACTAGAAGACCTCAGCCCTATGATTCTGAGATTCAAAGTTCATTACTAAAAGCCTTTTTTTTTACCACCTGTATCAATACAGCAATCAGGTTCTCTGTCCAGTCGTCCCACTCCATCTTACTATGTTTTCTGACCTATCTAGAATGTGACGAAAAGCTTATTGCAATATGTTCTGTTCCCAGGTTCGATGTGGGTCCGATCATTAAACAAGAAGAATTTGCTGTTCCAGCCCATTGCTCAGCAAAAGAGCTGGAGCCATTGTTATCCAAAGAAGGTGCAAACATGGTAAATTGGCACTTCTTTTTTCATGGCCTTTTCCCCCAAAACAATTATGAGAGATACAAATACATGTAATAGAAACCGGTCAACAGAGGGTTGAAGCAACTGATTTGATAATAAATAAAAAATATGAAAATTGAGACATTTTTGTGTATCAAGAGTGTGAATAAACACTACTACATGGGTAGTATTTCCCCCTTTCTGCAAGACTGCTGAGTCAGAATCTGGATCGCTCCTAAAGTTAATGCATGGCATATAAGAGCAAAGATCTGCAAATTCAATACCTGGTAGAAGATTTGTATCCCATTGAATAACATCTGGCTGTGTATATCTGATGAGTCCCAATAAAGGTGAAGCTGGTCACATATTGCCTCCTTATGGTCAATGTAGTTGCAAATACCACCCAGGTGTTACACAGTGTAAAATAAAGCATTCTCTCCCTGCCACCCTGCCCAGAAGGGTGGTGGTGGCTATAATATAAAATCTCAAACGGGGTATGACGTAATAACATCTGAATCTCTCTCTGAGAGCTTAAGGGAAGTAGACTGTGTAGACCAGTGTTTTTCAAACTTGGCAACTTTAAGATGTGTGGACTTCAACTCCCAGAATTCCCTAGCCAGTATTGGCATAGACTGGCATTATAAACCCCTTTCTGCAAGACAGATGAGCCCCAGAACCTGGATAGCTCCTGAAGCTATTGCACTGGTTATAGCCATCTAAAGTGCAAAAGTCTGTGAATTCAATTCCCGAGAGAGGGTTTGAACCCCATAGAATAAGATCTGGCTACCTACATCTGATAAGTCCTAATAAAGATGAAACTGGTCCTGTGCTGCCTCTTGGCGATCACTGATGATGAGAATGAGAATCTGTTCTTCATTTTGGCTTATAAGCATTTTGGGTTTTCTTCTCAGCTGATTGCCGTTTTGCAAAACTTACCTGAAAGTTTAAGCCAGAAGAAAGAGCAGCCAAAAGAAGGAGTGACTCATGGTATTTATTGCATGTTTCATGTGTAATATAGATATCAACTAGTTACAGTATGAGACGCTGTAAGTAGATGGTTGTTGTACTTTCCCCATGATTCTTCCCACAGTGTTATTGAACTCAAACGCTTTGTGATGAAGCTGAAAGCTTGGCAGCCAAGGACTGCTTTTGAGGGTGTCAGGGAAGCCGAATGTCCCTTAACTTGAGGAGGGAAGAATAGGGAACCCCCATTGCTGTGCCAATAGAAAAGGATCACTTCTAAGCATTACATTGGAAAACAAAATTTAAAATGTTTAAAGATGCAGGGCCAAAAGAGGTCGATTTTGTTTTATTTTCCTCTAAAGCTCCTAAAGTCACTATTGCAATGAGCTGCATTCAGTGGGAAGACCAAACTGCTGAGCAGATACTAAGGATGCATCGGGCCTTAGGAGCAATGGTAAGGCCAGCCTTTCAAAGAATAGGTTGCGTATCAATTATATATTTAAATTTAAAAATAGCTTTTTACGAAAACAATCTTATTTTCAGCCCTTGGATGAAACTGGGTTGGTGGTGGGAACAGAACTGTATTCTGGTATTACCGCGTATTTTTTAACGAAGGAAATATTATTGGATTTTTTGATTTGATGAACCTTCCGATGAATAAAATGGAACATACGTAAAAATATGCCACACAGATGAGTAAGAGGAACTAGTTCCCTCTCAGAATTTAACTTGGCAAAGACAAAATGCAAATTCTTTTTGTTCTACTATGGCTCCTTTCTAATTAAAATACAGTATTTGGAAGGTTAGCCTCCTACTAAAACCAAATTCATTTCAATGTAAAATGTTCACATTTGTCTTTTCTCAGGATTGGGGGGAAAATTTGGCTTGGTTCTTCTGATTGCCCTGGAAGAAATCTGTTAAATTTGACAAAAGTTGGAATTGGCTTGTATTCTTGCCTATATTCTAAGTGAATAAGAATAATTTAACCGAAATGTATGTGAACTTCCGTAACAGTATAACTTACAGTGCTGTATGTTTTTAGATGCCTCTAAGAACGCTGTGGATGGGTTCCAGAGTAAAACTTTTGGACTTTGTAGAAGAGGAGATGCTACCGGATTTTCCTGGTACTTATGTGAATCCCTTGGCACTCTGACTGGTAACATTTGAACAGTGGCAGTGCCTAAACAACAACAGAGGGTCTGTGAAATAAAACTGAACACTTTCTGACTTTCTCTGTTGCAAATCCTCTTTTTTCCTGTTATAACCAGACTGCTTGAGCGTGTTGTTCTTTCTAGGAACATCAAACCCTTGTTTTTAATCTATAAGTCTAATGATCTGTAGAAAAGTGATGTATGAAAAGTATTACTGTTTGGTATCTATAAAGAGAAGTGAAGAATATCCTGTCGGTTGCCCTTTGTGACAATCTGTAGGAAATGGAGAATATGTTCAATTATTTGTAGTATTTAAATTATGTAACCTTCCCCTATAAGACTTAACCAAAATGTGATCTTAGTAACACTTTGGAACTTGGATTTCACTGTTTCAGAGGCAAGAGTGACCTAACAGTGTGTCTTTGTTCTACAGATAAGGTTGTAGCTGAAAAAGAGGCAATTCCAGGGTCTGTGTTCTACCACAAACAGTTACAGATCCTGATGATCCGGTGCAAGGTAAGTTTGTATGATAACCTATGTATGTGTGATATTTTTACTCCTTTTTTAAGGCAGATAGGCTCTCGAAATGCACCCTATTTCCACTCCAGCTGAGAGATGAGGAAAGAGCGTGCCAGTCAAATGTTCATTGAATTTCCTTGGTTACGCTGTCCCTCCTTACAGCTGAGAGAAACAAACTGCCAGTATAAAGTCTTATCAGCCCAGTCCCTGAGTCTTTACTGAATAGCATCCATATGTTTTCTAAGTTGACATTTACAAATCAAAGACATGTTTTTTAAATCTAATGATGCCAGGATGCTGGATCCTATATTAGCTTCCACCCAAGGGCAGCCTCCTGGCGGGTTTGCAGATTTTGCTGAGGGTTTTTTTGTGCATATTCCTTCTCCTTCCTGCCCCCCCTCCCCTTTCTAGGAAGGTTGGGTTGGAGTCAAAACCATTATACATAAGAAGAAATTGACAGCAACCGACTTCTACAATGGCTACTTGCATTCTTGGTCCCAGCACAATTCTCAAACGGCTCTCAAGAATTGCCGGTTTCAGACACTCAAGCTGACCACAGTGAAGAAGCATCGGAAAGCTTCGCTGCATGTGCAGAGTGTATAAACCACTGATACGATTCTCAGTAATGTGTGAATGTACCAACTTTATGAGGAGCCAAGCTGGAAATGCCTCAGCTTTGTATGAAATTTGTCCCAGAACTGATCTTTGAGAAACAGTGAAGGAAGAGAATAAATATGGCAAAGGTGGTGCTGTCTACCTGATACTGTGGAGTGGATAACACAAAGGGCAAGTAACCTGAACAGTGTGTTTATTTTTACTACTTAAAACTTCAAAACACTCTCAGCCTTGCAAGCCTGACTTTCCAGGAACTGTATCTTCCGCTTCTGGATCCATCTTTTTCCGACTTAAAATACAGTTTAGCAGAGTTAACTAAGTCAAGGACATATTTATTGTATTATTGAACAATAAATGATTTTTGTACATATGTTTGCAAAGGTGTTTCACACAAATCATTGCTATGGCTGACATTATAGAATGCTGACTTCCGTACTATAATTGGATCCACATAAAAATCAGTTCCAAATGCCCTTCAGAATCCAGAATCACCAAGGTAAGTGCTCAAAAATAAGCACTATTTTTTTTTCTACAATAACTGGCCTTACCTGTAGCCATTTGAGCAGCCCCAAGCAAACTTGTATATTTCCCCCCAGAATTTCATGACAACTTATAAGTGTACTAAGATCTGGCAAGGTCAGCCAATGGCTGTTTAACAAATACATGTACTTGGCTGATCCTTTTTTCCAAAGGTACTCCTTTACCCTAGCAATGCAACTAGGTAATTGCTGAACACTGTTTTAAGCTTACTGTGTGATCTTCAGGATACTTCTGCCTGCAGATAACCGAAGAACATTCCTGTGTTTTACTTAGGAGATTTTGGTGGTTTGCCAGAAAACCATTGGGGGGGGTGTTTCTTTTTGTTTGCCAGAAAACCATGCTTCTAGTGTTTTACATCCTCCAAATGCACTCAGTACCTAACCTAGAAGAAAATAAAATTCTGTTTCCTGGGATAATGTCAAAATGAAGGCAAAAATTCGTCTTTCTGGTGGCGTAGCCTATCGTATCCAGGGTTCCAGTATGCAGAGCGTAGGATGCTGCCTTATGCCAAGGCCAATTATTTGTCCTTGTAACCCAGGTGGTCTGAAATCTGGCTTAGTTTTGGGTCCTTTAGTAGCTTCAGCTTCAGGGATGAAAGAGGATAGCAATGCTTGTAAGAGAGATCTTCCCTGTGATCATAGTTTCGGCTCCTGGGATGAAATGCTATGAAGTTGGACAGTAGGGCCAAGTTGGGAATCCTGCATGGATATCTACTGCTCAGCAGGATCCTTTCCTGAGCTTCTGGACCTTGTTCCCGGGGTGGTTTGGAAGTTTTCATGGATTCTGGTGCTGGAGAACTTCAATTCTCCATGTTTTGGGGGTGGGTTTGGCGACAGTAAAGGAATTAATGGTCTCCGTGGCAACCACAGATATGGAGGACATTAGATTGAGTTCTTTGCTATGGTCAAATAACTTCCTGGTCCAGGTGAGATTTGTCACTACCTGCAACTTACAGAAGGTGGATGGGCCCATTAAGATGGTCCATTCCCAGCTCCTGATGGGTTCCAGAAGGTGCTTGGGAGGTTTCCTTGAGGTCTACCAGACAATTTCCCTGAGTGCTTCGGGGACTCCCGAAATTAGGAGGCAGTCTGATTGCTTGAGTTGATTGCTCCCCAGTGGCCTCTCTTGCAGCCAGTCCCACGGGGGTGGGACTCCTTGGTTCCCAAGGACCTCCATGGGATAAAGCAGCAGAAGCAATACCTGGAATACATGGAGGAGGATGAAAAGTGAGTAGGACCAAACACAGGTATCGGCTCATGTTTGAGCCTACTCTGAGGTGATAAGAGCTCGTGTGATTGGAGGGGTTGTTTAAGGTTACCTGTGTCCTGTTAGGAAAGGGGGAAGAAGAGCTGCCACCTGAGTTCTGTGACTTGGGTCTTGTAGAGTTGATCATATTGGCTGTAATCTTGACTCTAGGCAGAGTCTGGCGTCTGAAGCAACGTCTTGCGATATTATCTGGTTATCTTCTGTTTGACAAAAATGAAGTTAGTTGTTTTGTGTCATCAAGGCTCCTTCAGTCTGGGTACTGGGATCAAGGGGGTGGAGGCTGTCCAACATGATCTCTGCCACATGTGGGTTGGATTCATGCTATCTCTTTGGGTGATCAGAGGTGTGTGTGTTCCAGATGGGATTGGGAGGTAGTCAACATGTCTTGGGGAGGTGATGTGTCCCCTCTTAAAGAGGCTTTCCCTGGACCCAGCTGTTTTAGACAACCTGTCTTTAGGCAGCTTGTCTCTAAGGTCCCCAAGAGATGGGGAAGCAATGAAGCTGCCCAGAGTCGCCCTCTGGGGTAGATGGGTGGCATATAAATTTAATAAATAAATATATAAAAATGAGCCCTTGAGGAAGCAGATTATGTAGACCAGGGTTTCTCAATTTTGGCAACTTTAAAATGTGTGGACTTCAACTTCTGGGAGTTGGTCCACCTGTCTTAAAGTTGCCAAGGTTGAGAAACCCTCATGTAGACCATTTCCAGTCTGGATTTAAACTCAAGCACTGGACAGAATTGGCATTGGTTGCTGTGGAGGACCTGAATGGGGAGAGATGGGTTTTAATATTGCTCAACATTTTATTGTTGTAAATTTTCTGAAGTCCATTCAGATTACTGTGATATATAAATGACAGAAATGTGTAAATAAATCTGCTCTCCTGAAGATAACAGCTATCAAACCAGGGTTGGGTCAGCTAAAAGGCCCTATATGTTGCATGTGTGCATGTCTGTGTGTGGGTAGGTGTAGATGAGATGATAGCATCCTACAATTCTTCTGCAAGTTAGCTTTCCATGCACATCCCACTCACCATAAGGATGGATATTTTGCCCGATATTAATTACAAAATACTGGATTGTGTTACTAGCATACCAGCAGGTGGCCTCTGTGCTTCAGAATCTGATGGACACACCATGTTAGCTCATGTTAATTACAACATGGGCCAAAGAAAGTCTTCTATAAGTAAGCAAAGTGGGAGGTTAGAAAACATGGCAGCTTTTCCCAAGATTCATCAGTCATTATGGCAGTTTGGAAAAGATACCTAAGACAATTTTATAAGCAAAAGGTGCTGAGGGAGCTTCATAAGGCTCCACTTGAGGAATCCCTCCCTGGTGGTTGTAGTAACCAACCAATCTGCTTAAACTACTTGTTTTCTTGCAGCATCATTTATTATGAAGGTATGATTTGAAGAGCAGGTGGCAGCTGTGGCCAGGAGAGCCTTTGCACAGATACATCTTGTGCACCAGTCGCGCCCTTTCCTCGATCAGGAGGCCCTTCCGACAGTCACTCATGCCCTGGTCACCTTACACTTGGATTATTGCAATGCGCTCCATGTGGGGCTGCCCTTGAAGACCATCCAGAAGCTACAGCTGGTTCACAATGCAACCGCACAAGCCGTAACGGGCGCCTGTGTGTCCCCACTGCTACACAAGCTACATTGGCTGCCAGTTGGCTTCCGAGTGCAATTCAAGGTGCTGGTTATTACCTGGAAAGCCCTGTATGGCAGAGAGACGGCTTGTCTCCAATCGTTTCTGCCCACCCAGTGCGTTCCAGCGAAGCGGGTGCACTCCAGGTCCTCTCCATTAAACATTGCCATCTTGTGGGACCTAGGAAGCGTGCCTTCTCTGTTGCAGCCTCCACCCTCTGGAACAGCATCCCCGCAGAGATAAGGATGGCACCTCTTTCCCGGGGCTCTGGAAAGCCATGAAAACCTGGCTCGGGTCCCAGGCTTTGGGGATGATGTCTGTCGTCGTTTAATGGCCCCTGTTTGATTTTGTGGGTTTTGTTAGTGAAGTATTTTGGTTACAGCTGCCTGTTGATTTAATGTTTCTTGCTGTTTTTATGTTTTTTTTAGTTTTGTACACTGTCCAGAGTCCACTGGAGTTGGGCAGCCAATACATTTCAATAAATAAATAAATAAATAAATATAAATAAATAAATATAAATAAATAAATAAATAAATGGAAATCTTTGATGCTGCGCCAGCAGTCTGCCCAGTGGTAAGCCAGAATCTTTTCACTCATTCATAGCTCAGCTTTGTAAGCCATCACATCCACTGCTTATGGCCCATATCAATTTCCAAGGGATGGCGGGTCTGTAGTGGTGGTGACATTGCATCATGTCACAATTCACCCCACAGGCAGACACTGGAACTGCTTAAGTCAAGCTCACGAGAACTCCTGGCAAGTAACCTTATTGAAGAAAAGTTAAGAATTGTAGCCACGGGGGATATACAAGAGCAAGCATGTGCGGCTACACATAGAAACATTTAATCCTCACCCCCCTTTTGCACTTATTTCTCTTTCCTGTCCTTGGCTGCAATGGGTTTTGCAGCGGTCAGAGTTGCTATTGGGTTGATTTTTGCACACTGTGAGAATGAATCCTCACACCCACAGTCACCGTTGCAGTGAACCACATCTGGTGAGAAAGGCAAACTCCTGAGTGACTGCAAGGATGTATGTGCCTTCAATAACCGTCATGTAATCTGACTTCAGTTTCTACCCTCCTGTAATGGTATGTGGGAATGGCCTTGGGAGACAGGAGGAAGAGCCACAGCCAGGGGAACGGTCAGATAAGCGGCAGCTGAGCCCACAGAAGGAATGGGGGTGTGGCAAACGTCTCAGTAGGGACCCTCCCTAGTTTCTTGGGCTGTAAAGGTGACAGGAGAAATGTATTTTCAGACTTGCAAGATTCTGTTAATGTAACCTTACAATAAAGTAGAATTCGTTCATCTGGGCGTGCTTCCTGCCTGGACTACCTCTCAAGGCTGACGCCTCCATACTCTAGATTCACATCCCACCTTTTCTCCAAACGCTTCAAGGCAGGGTATCCCACTGTCTCGCCTCAATTTTTTCTCCACCATAGTGACCCTGCAAGGTTGGTCTGAGTGGATGAAAATCACCCGGTGAGTTTCCGTGGCTGAAAGTGGACTCACCTGGGTCTCTCCAGACCACACTGATGCAGCCGCTGCCCGCCTCTGGTCAGCCAGGGAGACCGGTCTGTTTCAGCTTCTTGCAACAGAACCACCGTCCAATTATATTTTAACCCTCAAGAGTTATGGGGATAAAAGTTCAGCACATCATGAACCAAAAGGACTGGAAATGTAACCTCTCTGGACCACCACACTCTCGAAGAACTCAGACCAATTGTCCAATCGGTGAAATGTTGTTTACCAGGTGCTGAGATGGGATTCCTGCTCAGAGGCAAAACTTACTGGGTGATTTTAAACAAACTGATAATCTATATCCTGGAGTTGTGATATGAAAGTGAAGGAGTGGCTTTCTGTGCCCTGTGAGCTCCTCCTAAGATTGTTTTCATGATCAATGAACAGTGCTTTAAGAATGAATACGCAAACAATTGCACAACAAAAAAGGAAATATTTACAATTCAAGTACAAATTCTTACAGTGAGCAGGAATCTTCCCCCCCCCCCCATAGGTCAGAATTTGGCAAAACAAATCTTTATCAGGCAAAAGGTTTGCATATATTCCTTTATTTTGCATATTCTTTCTCCCATCCTTTCACCCATCCTGTAACTTTGTACAACATTTGTCTACAGAAATACAGGCCCATAATTATATAAATAGGTATTAACGCTTCAGCTTTTTTTTTTTTAGCAATTGGCCAGCAATTCATTTTTAAACACTGTCTCCTAAAACTAGTGTTGGTTCAGAACAGCAAGTTCTGATTCGGAAAATATTTACCAATGGCTTGGGCTGAAGCAAAGGGACACCTCTCTATCAGCAGATATGGGTCCAAGTTAAAGCATCTGCAAAACGTTAAAAAAAATAAAAGATGGAAATTGAAACATCTCGGAGATGAGCGTTTTAATTTTATTGTTGAATTCAAGAACGTCTTTCTTTCAGGAAGGAAATCATTAACGCTGCACTATCCAGCTTACTCAGCCAAACTCAAAGAAATTCCATTGTGGTTTAACATATTGTGCAAACACAACCAATGGTGGTTTATTCAATAAACCATATTTTGCATACCATTGGTAAAAATCCAGCCCAAGAGGTGCAGCTGCTCAAGATTCCCCAGAATTCACGGCTTTTAATACCCCAAAAGGAAATGACCCAATCCCATTTTTTTAAAGGCATTATTAGCTACCTGCGGCCTAGGGTTTTTGGGCCACAGTGGGTGCCTCCAATCTGTTATCTTCCTGGCATGAGGGACTTCAACTTCCACGCTAGCTGGGAATGAATACGATTGAAGTCAACACACCTGGATGGTACCAGATGGGAAAGCCTATGATCCATCACTGGCTATGTTTCTCTGCATTTCTCGAAGGAGCTCTGAAGGTCAGGGATACACTATGAAGGCCACGTAAAGCTTCTCATGAGCAGAATCTTCCCACACACGTCACTATCAGCAAGGATGATCTCCTTTTTTCTTTGTCTCTTCTTTTTTTCTTTTTCACATTTGCTATATATATATATTGCTTTGAATGTATTTCTTATTATATATCTAAAATCTTTTAATAAAAACTACTCTAAAAAGTATTGGCAAGGATGTGTGTTGTCACGTGGTGTCGTCTCTGGCACATGAATTCAGATGAGAGGCTGGGATTCGCACAGAGCTGTCAGTTCAGGAGCAAGTGTATCAGAGCTTACCGGACTTTTTGTGGGACCCTAACCGGAAGAACTCATGCTCTGAGGACTTTCGCTTCGTCGTCTTACTCCAGTTCTCTCTCTAAGAGGGTTTGCTGAGAACCTACTGGGCACATTCCTTAGGGACTGGAATATGTTTTCTCGTGTGGGTTTCTCTTGACAATTAAAAGTTAACGCTATGCCCACATTGCTCTTCATAATTCTTGAAGAGCTGTCAGATGTCCCATCAAAACATCGTCCCAGAGCTATTTCTTTGGCTGTCCTAGGATCTTGATCAGTAACGGTATAGATCCCATAGTTGTGACCAAGAGGATCAAGAGGAGCCAACATTGTATATTGGCTGGAATCGTTATTAACTGCAACTGGGAGGTGGTTTACCAAATATTCATGCAACATGCTATTGACATTCTCCCTGTAACAGCTCCCCTGGGGGATGATCTTCACCAGCGTCCGATCCACACGTTCTTGATCATACAACATGCCACTGCACTTGAATTCTAGACATGCTGTTGAAAGGTTAGGATGGTCTAAAGCACGGATGCTCCGCACATCTCTGATGCCATACAACTTGCCAACAGTCCGCGGATGGGTGCCCCCTGTGTTGCGGGATCTCACAATCACCTCAAGGGGCCCAGTGATTCTCACTTTAATATAACATGCCCTAAATTCCATTGGTTTGGGCCACCAAGCCAAGTAGTCTTCTGTCCAGTTCATGGGATCATCCTCATTAAAAGGAATGGTGTTATAATCATATTTGTCTCCTTCCACTCTGTAAAACCTGAAGTGAGCAGCTGTGGGGAGAGCAACTTCACACTCATGTAGCTTGTCATAAGGATATATGGGACCATTGCTCTCTTCAGCAATGTTGGGAGTAGGCTTGGCCACGCTGATCCTGAATGCCGTTTTCTTCACATTATGATCCAGATGATCTGTTCTCCTGTAGTTGAGTTTATTGAGGTATGGTTGTGGCACTCCCACAGCAAAAGGGTTAAGCTGGGGAGAGGAGGGAACTGCTTCAAGTTCTTCTCCCCCAAGACTTGCCATGACATAGGCAGTGTAGGCATCTGGATTTCGGTCATCACAGAAAGCTGGAACACAAACTCCACTGGAGCCAGTGACAGCACTGTCAAATCGCCCCCAAGCTCTAGGGTTGGTAGAATATCCCGGGGTTGGTTCTAAGTTGATAACTGAGACGACCACACCTGCAACTTGTTCACTGGGCAGATATCTCTCGCTTCTGTAAGCACGCACCTTGATGTAGCACCGTCTGCTCTCTGGGACATCCAAGTTGAAAAGCCGCCTTTCTCGTATCTCCATGTTGCCTACCAGAAACGTTCTCTCCTCTCGCTTTCCACGCCTGCTCGAATCCAATTCGAAACCACCTTCTTCTTCCCATAAACCTGTTTGTGGATTCAGAGACCAAAGTTTAATCCCTTTCAGATGTTCTGGCATCTTGATCTGAGCTGAGTCCAGGTGGATCTTCACTTTGCCTGCATTGAGTGATTCTGTGGCTGTTTCGTCTGTGAAATCCATAGAAAACATGCCATACGTCCGCAGAGGGAGCATATCCCCTTCAGCATCTACGAAATTCAAGTCAGTCTGAGCTGTGGCTGCACTGGAGACATTTCTCGGATCTAGGAAAGTCACACTGGCTTTAACTTTCCCTGCATAGAGATCTCCATTCAGTCTGTAAAATGTATTGGGAGGAATTTCAAGTTCAGCAATTGGGTCGTCTCCCTCTATTTCTCCCAAGGAAATCACATTGGTTTCAGTGGATTCTAGTGTGATAGGTGGCTTTTTCCTCAACATCCTGATCTCGTGGAAAACCGTCCCACCATTCTTGTTAAAAGGCAACACTTTGGTTGTGTTTACAAACTTCTGCAGGCGGTCCACAAAGGTGAGGACCAGTCTCTCAGTGTTTGGGGGCACTTGGACAGAAAATGTGCCCTTATAACCCGTCATGCTGACCCTGTTGTTCCCCATATAGATATGACCAAACCTCATGGGCTCTCCTGAATCAGAAGCCACAGCTCTTCCTCGAACGGTGACCTTGGCCTTGGTGCACTTCTGACAGCCACACTCCACAGTCACCTTGATGGGAAGTGTGTATCCAGCACATGTTATTTCTTGTGTTTCCATTTTGGAGGCCCCACAGCAGTAAGCAATTGTGTCCTTGCACCGGAAGCCCTCACGTAGCATTCCAGAGCACGTACTAGATGAACATCTACCAACATCATAGTAGAAAGAATTGGTTGAGTTCTGAAAGCAGTCATGGGGCAGTCGGATAAGATAACTCTCAGGCCTTGAGTCACAGGGTGCATTGTTCTTTGCTGTTAAAATAAATTCCATAGGTTACTATCAAGTGTGGCCATTTCACTGATAGAGTTGTTTTAACTTTTGGTGCTGTGGCAGTGTAACTTTTTAGAAGGGTGAGGATCACAGTAGGGAGCAGGAGGAGGATGCAAATGGACAACTTCATGCTTTGAGGGGACACCAGGACTTTCTGATTTTTCTAGATGGGGAAAAGGGCATCTTGGATTTTTACCCCCCCTTTTTTTTTTAAACATGCTAAGTCTAGCCGGGGGTGGGGTGACGATCCTGTCCCACAGTTCAGCCCTAAAAAGAAGCAGGGGCAAACCCTTTCAAAAATGCTGCCCAGAAGACTGCATGGACTTGTGTCTCTCCCTCAAAGGCTAATAATAATATCCACCACCACCACCGATCCCATTTCTTGCCTCTGAGGTCCTCCCCACAGCTCACCTATGACCGAAAGGGTTGCACTTTGTGACTTGACCGAACCGGCTTCATTGCTGGTCTTACAAAAGTACCGTCCGGCTTGGTCCATTTTCAAATTCTTTAAAATCAAGTTGCTTATATATTTATAAAGGGCAGGATCCAGCAGCGTATCATTGTGGAACCTATAAGAAAGATCACAGCGGCAGCTCAGATAGAAAACTCTCTTGGGTCTATACGACTAGAGCAGGGTTTTTGGGGAAGTTTTTCCATGATTCAGAACGTGGAGAAAATGGCTGTGAAAAACAGATGTCCCAACAAGAAAGCTGAGCTACAAAGGTAAATGAAGGCAGGTTTTCCCAACCCGGTCCTTCATCAGGCTGGGCTTAACTGCAGCTGCTCTGGGTGGTGGATTGGAAGGGGGGCAGATTGGGGGTGTCTCCACTCCCTGCTCTCCCCAACAAGGCATTGCAACAATAAATGTGCTTCTCTTCCAGGTTTTGCTGTGTAATGAGGTTATCCAAGAAGGAAGAGATCCAAGGGAAAAAAAATAGGGGCTGAGTCTAGTAGAGGTTCAGACATTCCATGAAACATTAAAATACCCATCTGGAACTAGCCTTGATTTGAAATATGTCTTTTAACACAGATGCATTTCCTACTGCCCTCTACGTGTATGGACTTCAGATCCCAGAATTCCTTTGCCAGCACAGCTAGTAACGAGAATGCTGGGAGAATATCCAGACATCGACATCTGGAGCGCAAAGATGTTGCTAGGTTTGCACATTTGGAACTACTTAAGAGGCAGTTGGCACGCATTTCCTTTTGTAATCCCATTTTAATCTCTTACCACAAATATCTGCCAGGTGCTGGATTTCCAGTGGCATGACAACAGAATGAAACACTTTGACCCTCTCTTCTTGCTTTGTTTTCTGGATGCACCGTCATGTATGGCTTTTCTGAAAGAGAAAAGCATTTGATCCCTCACTGATTGGAATGATCAGTTTTGCTGCCTCCGTGTTTCGTTCTTACTAATCTGGAAGAGCCTATGCGGGTGCTAAGTAGGTGAATAATCCACTGAGCAATGCAGGTGGGGAGGGAAACTTAGAGAGGTGGACCATTAGGGCAGCCTTGCCAACCTCAACCCCTTACAGAAATGTGAATTTCAATTCCCAGAATTCCCCAGCCAGCATCATCATTGCTGAGAATTCTGGGAGTTGAAGTCCACGCATCTACATGGAATCCAAGTTGGGGCAGGCTGATACAGGTGTGATTCGATTGGCAGATTCAGCGCTTCAAAGCCTCTTTTATTGCATCTGAAAGTAGTAGACCAACCCTGGGAATGCAGGACAGTTTTTACAGCCAGTTCTAGATACCTAGAATGGCAACAGAGGAGCAGTGACAACTCTAAGAAGTGTGGACTTCAACTCCCA